TCCATGGACTCTTTTATCATGTCTTGAAAATAACAGGTGCTCGAAAATGTGCTTCAAAATAACGTCTCCCGTGCGAATAGGGCGAAAGTGTGTAAGGGGAGGCGGGAATTCGTTCCCAATTTCCACCTACTACCTCCAGCCTCCTTACATATCTTTCCCCCGCACGCGGCTCGAGACATCCGCTCCTGGCATGGTCGGTAAGAGCAGGTTGGGACCCTGGAAAGAAGAAAAAAAAACAAAAAACAAGCAAAACAGAAAGAAAAGGGGTTCCAACCATCTTCAAGAAGAAAATAGAGCACCTTGAAAAATGTGAGTCCATGATCCTTTGTTTTTGAGAATCTCTCCATCCACGATTCATTTGTCCTCTGTTCACTATTTTCCATGATGCCGACTCGATACTAGTGCTCTCGTCGAAGAAGCTATGAGATGACTTGTGCGTCGGTTGACCTCGTAAGTTGCTAAATGATCTAGGAAGTCCTCTACCTATGATTTGGGTTGTTTGTTGCTATAGAGGTATGGAGAGTTGCATTGGTTTGAGTTAGGTTTGCTTTGGGACAAGCAAACTGTTAAGTGTGGGGGAGTTTGATAACGATGTAATTGCACATATTTGCGCCCCTAGTTCTTATCCGTTTGAGGGGCATAGTCGTGTGTTTTTTGCCTATTTTATGCCTGGTTGTGCTATTTTGTCATGTTTCAGGTCCCAGGTGTAAAACGGAAGGCTAAGCACGAGTTTCGGGACATTCGAAAGTCATTTCGGTGAAACTGAGCCAAAACATGGGCACACCTAAAGCATTACACGGCCGTGTTCTCCCAAAGCACGACCGTGTTCTCTCCAAAACACGGCCGTGTTCTGTGGCCGTGCTTTTATTGCCGAGAGCTAATTCGAGTTTGGCAAACATGAGCTGATTACACGGGCTGAAAGCACGACCGTATTCTCCCAAAGCACGGCCGTGTTCTCTCCAAAGCACGGCCGTGTTTCTCCCAACACATGGCCGTGTAATTAACACTAGCCAAAGCACGGGGGGCTGAGGCAAAGTACGGCCGTGCCCTCGACCGTGCTTTGGCCAGTGATGCCTTTTTAAGCAGATTTTCAGCCAAAGAGAAGGGGATTCAAGTTTTAGAGAGAGAGATCAGTTCCTAGAGAGAGAAAGCGACGAACAAGAGTCTCCAAGTGCCCTAGCTTGATCTTCAACACCATTGGAGGCCAGTTTGAGCTTGGAGAAGTGCCGATCAACGTCCAGAAGCAGGAATCCATCCTTCACAGCATGAATTCCGCGTCTGATTCTGCTTTTGCTTCTTTCTCCATGGAGTAGTTCTCCCATTCATCTGGGTATGGAGAACCCTAGATTTGTATGTTAGGCTTTGATTATATGAACCCAAGTACTGATTCTATGATTTGATTATATTCGATTGAGGTTTGAATGATTGAATGACTTGAATCCTGATCAAATTCCTGTTGTTTCTGCTTTAACCTAGAATGAGAATATCTGCCTAGGTTGATAGAGCATCCTTGATTGAAGGTAGGGAGTTGGTGACTTTAGTCGAGGAGCCAACTCACTATTCTGTACCGGATTTACTCCGGTAGTGGAGGTTTTGTTTGTTAAGGCCTCAATCTGGTTACTCCGGTGGAGGTTAGTCGCCCGCTAGAGACTTAGATTGAGAGGGTCTGAAGACCTTTAGTCGAGACTTCAGGCTGTTTAAGAACCTTCCGCAGTATAACTATCATAGAAACTGAACTTGGTAATTACAATCCGACTTAACTGCAGTCTAGGGGGAACCATATCCAGGTGACCTCTCTTAACCTGAATACAACAGTTTACTTGCTTTGTTAGTTTGATAGTTTAGACTTGCATGCCAGTTTCATTGCTAGATAACAAGAATTCACTGAGTAGTCATCAGATCTAGGACCCGGGTTGATAATTAAACCTAAACCCGCTATACTATGCTTTAGGAAGTGGTTACACTTGGCCAATTCTTGGGGTGACAGTAGAAGTGAGTCAGTACGAGTGCTCAAAATTTCGAGAAGATAGAGCAATTTATGGAAGTGTCGACTACCAAGTTTACCTCTGTTGAGGCAGGTCTCCAAAGCCAACAAGCGAACACTCCAAAGCTTGGAGGTGTAAATCAGTAACCTTGTCGGCATCCTCACAGAGAGACCCAAGGGGCCCTACCTTCCCAAACCATGGCGAACCCCAACAACCATGCCGGGGTGAATGCACTTCAAGTGAGGAGTGTGAAGGTGATTTCGGAAGTCGCCACTGAAGAAGTGAAGGAGAAGCAAGATACCAACCCTAAGAAAGGAGAGAAGAAAGGTGATTTATAATGAGGGGCAAGCGACAATGAAGGCATCGCCTGTGGGGGAGTACATGCCACCTCTTCCTTATCCCACGAGGATGTACAAGGACAGGTTGGAGGACGAGTGTGGAGGTTTCATGGAAATGCTCCGCAACCTCCACCTCAACATCCCTTTCCTTGAAGCCATGGCTCAAATGCCAAGATATGACAAGTACTTAAAAAGGATTCCTCACCAAGAAGCCAAAGCTTGAAGGCCTCGCCAATGTGACTCTTGGCGAGGATTGTTCGGCTTACCTCCTGAACCTCTTGTCCAAAAAGCGGTCCGACCCAGGTAGCTTTACTATCCCTCTTGATATTGGTAACCATCATATAGACAATGCCTTGGAGGATCTAGGAGCTAGTGTTAATGTGATGCCCTACAAGCTTTTCAAAAAGTTAGAAGTAGGTGAATTTAAGACCTCTAAGCTTATCATCACCTTAGCCGACCATTCGGTCATTAGCTCGAGGAGTATTGTGGAGGACATGATGGTGAGAGTGGGCAAGTTTTGCTATCAGACCGATTTCGTGATTCTTGACATAAGTGAGGACTCGGATATGCCACTCATCCTTGGTCGTCCCTTTCTTGCCACCGCTAAGGCATTGATAGACGTTAATGAGGGGACCTTAATTCTGAGGGAGGGTAAGGAGAGAATCAAGCTTGAAATTCACCCTAAGATTAGGAGTGATGAAGTGAAGGAAGTGGTTTCAAATGATGTGAATGAGAGTGGTGGAGAGCCTCTGAAGGCAAACCCCACCATTCCTTGTGTTGCTTTTGGTAATGTTGAGCAGGAAATGAAGGAGGGTAATATGCCTAAGGAGAAGAGGAAGAATGTTTGGAGGAAAAAGATGAAAGAAGCTTTGGCCCTCAGGAAGGAGAAGGCCAAAGCGAAGTTGGCCGATCAAGAGGGACAACTCATGGAGCCTAAGACGGGAGGCTACAAGCCTCGCCCCAAGAGTGTGGTGGATCCACTCACGGAGGCATCACGATCCAAGTCATGATCGATCCCCAACCATCAAGCTAATGACGATAAATTAGCGCTTGTTGGGAGGCAACCCAATGGAGGTTTGTTTTCTTTTACTTATTTTAATTTTTGTGTCGAGTGAAGAGTTCGAGTGGTGAAGTGGTGTCCCCGTGCCATGTTTTTTGGTTTTGCAATTTACGGTTGTGTTGTGATCGATTAGGAGGCACGATGGAATAGGTTGAGTCAAATTTTTCTTAGAAGTGTCCTATTTTCTCTGGTGTTCACGGACGGATTGCTGAGTTCACGGTCTCACAAGAGCGTGAACAGGCAAACACGTCCGTGAACTGACGCTTCTGCATCTTCACCACCTGTCGACCAACCCCAGTTCACGGTCACTAAGACCGTGAACAAGGCAACGCGTCCGTGAAATCCTATTGTGTCTATAAAAGGGACGTGAACGGCGACTCATCACTAGCAAATCTCGCCGGAAAATTTCAAATCTTCGTCAAAAACCGCGAAACTTCGTTGGTTTTTCGATTATTCCCCATTTCCGGCGAGCAAAACCCAAAACAAACGTCATACCCATTCTCCCCTCATCAAAACTGGCCTGTGCAAAAATTTGGGGCAACTTTTTTCCGGCCAAGTCGCCGGTGACGAGCTTCTGACGAAGCTCCGGCGACCCCTCTCCGATCAGTTTTTCGGTCGTTTTTCACCTTCCTCGCACGCACCGCACTTCCTCCTACGTCCTACTTGCGTCTCCAGGTTGGTTTTTCAGCTTTACCTTATTAATTTGTGGAGAATCAGATTAGTAGTTAAGTGAGGATGATTTTTGTGTTTTGCATGTTGAACCTAGATTTAGGGCGAGGAATTAGGCGAATTAGGTCGATTGAATGATGGAATGATTTTTGCTTAAGTTTAGTTGAGCCTTGGTGGGCTTGTTTGATCCGAATTGCCTTTATCTTTTGGAATTTGCCCATCAAGTGCTATGTTATGAATGCAAGTGGAGTTTTATGCTTGATTGGTGGATGGTAGCCACCGTGGTTGGGTTGTGGTTCAACTTTTTGTGTGCTTGAAACGTGAATTACCCACAACCATGCCAAGCTTTAATGTTTGATATCCATGGTGGAAAAATAAGGGTGGGGGGAATCTCTTTTCCTCCCATTGAGCATTAATTGATGAATGTTTCCGCGTATGGTGTATGTTTTTCAGTTTGTGCAGGATGGTTAACATGGATCACCCATACCTTGTGGCACTAAGGAACAGCCCTGAAATGGAGAGAGGGGTGTTTTTAGGCTTCTTCGAGAGTCTGTAACCATTGGAAACTCGACTTTGCCTAGTTCGACATGCTTCATTGTGGTGATGTTATGAGGGAGGCAGTGGTGTACCCACAATGGCGCCAAGCCCTTGATCTTTAAGATGACACTTACGGGAAACTACGGGTCGAATTTTTCAGCACCTTCACCATACGCAAGAGCCTTTGCCTACTCGGTCATCTAGTACGCCAGGTTGAGTTCCGATTGGGAGGGGAACTTCACAATTTGAGCTATGACGAGTTAGCCAGAGCCCTCAGAATGGAAGCCAAACATGAGAACGATTGGGAGGAAGATGCCATCAGAAGTTTTGACGTGAATGCCGCATTTCTGAAGTTTTTTCTTCCAAAGTACCGAAGGACAGTTTAAGTCGGCCCTCACAACGACATCCACACTCCAGCCTAGTGGCGTGTCATCGTTGCACTCCTGGCTCGTTTCCTCTACCCGGCTTACCACAACCCAAACAAGATAACCGAGAGAATCTTATTGACTTGTTGTTGTATGGTGAACCTGTCTAGAACTCTACACCTGGGTTCAGTCGTAGCCACATCTTTTTCCAGGGCTAATGGGGAAACCGTCGTTATGTCACATCAATGGGTTCGTACATCACCCGCCTTGCTCGATACTTCGATATCAGCCTTAAAAGGTGCTCGAGAGTGGAGCGAAACCAGAGATTTGACGAGGGAACTTTGCACTCCATGCGCTTATTGCAAACCTTTGGCCCAATGCGGTACATCGAGGGATTGAGTCCTGACCCCGAGGTCCCACCACCAGCAGAGCAGCGACCTGCTCATGCACCCGGTCGCCGCCGACGTCCAGCGCTCCAGTGCCTAGCACAGCCACCACCAGCACCAGCAGGTGATCCCCTCGTCCACAGGGTGGATCGCCTTGAGACGAACTTCGTTGGATTCTCTTACCGCCTGGACCGGCAGACTGACATCCTCGAGCTTATGGCTCGACGCCAGGGCATCCTCCCAGAAGAGGTCATGGGTACTTCCACCAGAGAGAGGTAGCTGATGAGTGAGACATGTGGCAGAGCTGAATCCTTTCGTCCCACTTCTCCACTTGTAACCCTGAACTTTTTTTGTTGTTGTTTTTTTTTTCATTTTGTGTGTGTGTGTGACATAAACCACTACTATTGTATTGTGTTTGTAATAACCTCGCATCGAGCGAGTCGTATTGTGCTTGTGTGTGTTTTTTTGTCTCTCCTTGAAGCTCAAAATATCCTACCCCGAATTCGATTCCAACTTTCACTCACCAAGCCCAAGTGGTAACATCATTCTACCCCTTTCTTACGCCATTGAGGGCAATGTCGAGTTTAAGTGGTGGTGGGGGGGGGGGTAGTTTACTATTATGCTTGTGTGAGTGTGATGGATGCTAGGAGCCTTGATATATGCCCAAATTTCAAAAAATTGAGGGCTCCAAGCAATGTTTGCAAGATCAAGTGGCCGGTGTGTGGGAAATTCTCGTGTTTATTGGCATTGAGCTTGAATTGTTGCATGTGATCGAGTATATCATATGATGATGACTAAGAGGTTCATTAGGATAGTGCAAAATTTTAGTACTCATGTGTGCATAAATGAATGGATTTCTTGACTCGATTAGTTGTTGATTAAAATTGCCATGCATTGTGTTTGTGAATTGGAATAGATGGTTGGGTGACTAGGTAGCCATGTGAGCTTTGAGATAATTGTTTTCTTCTTGTGTGCTTAGATCCCTCTTACCATGGTGAGTAAAATCACAGTTGTCACTAGTGAGTATGATAGAGGCATAGGATTAGTCCACGCGCAAATATTGATTGTCCCGAAATGTGTTATCCACTAGTCAACCCCTTTGAGCCTTGTGGCTTCGAGGGTCGTTCTTAAGTTAGGAGTTTCGTGCTTGTGAGCTTAATGGTGTTGATAGAACGACCCCCAATCCTTTCTTCGTGTCTAAACATGAGTCTTCCTTCTGTCCCGGAGCTCTCGATTTTGAGTTTGCATAAAGGTTCTACATAGGAGGTTTGTGTGCGGTTCTTGCTAGGAATGCGAAAAATGAAGTGTAGTGTTGGAGTGAGTTCCTCAAAAAGAGAGCATTGGTCGTTAAATGTATAGGTGGCAAGTGTTTTTACTCTCTAGTACCCCCTCAAAAAGGAAAGAATAAGAAAGAAAAGAAAAGAGAAACAAAAAAGAGGTAATAAAATGGGGTAAAAAAAGTAGAGAGTGCCACGAAAACGAAAGTACATGCTCTAGGAGGGGTTTCTTGGCACCCAAGCCATTAAAACTCCCCACATTTTTTTAGAACTCCTTCACTACCAAACCTTAATGTGCTAGCAAGAGTAGACCGAGGAAGATTTAGTTCACGATGAGTGATAGTTTGGAAAGGAGAGATAAGGTTTTTGGCCAATGCTAGTGGCCTTGGGTTGAAGAGAAGGGTTTTAGTAGAAACCATAGAACCTTCGGGTTTAGGTTGAAGATGTAGAACCTCACGTCATGATTGCCACCACCCAAAAAGCCTTTTTCCCATGTCCAAGACAATTGCCAGTCATCTGAACCCGTGGCTAAGACCTCCATACAAGCTAGTGGTGACAACCATCCCGTGATCTCTAGCATTTAGAGGTTACCGCCGTGTTATTGAGACGATAGGGCCGAGATTTTATGATTGTGCACATCTTTTTCACCCAAAAGGTCCCGACCCCACTGGTCTTGAGAGTGAGTGATTCATTCTTTCTTTGCATATCATATGATACCTCGGTGAGGACCTTTGTTGCCTTTCCATTTATTCCTCAGACTTGAATTCCATGCATGGTTAGTTGTGGTTGATAAGTGGTCTTGTTGAGACTTGCATTGATCCATGAACAAGGTGAGAATTTTTGTTTGCCCGTTTTTGGTGGCTTCGAATGTCATTTGTGGTGGATATCGGTATTGCTTGCAACGGTCCATGTATTGATTGCCAATAGCCATTGAGAATTCCCACTTTGTGCCCTTTAAGTTGTCCCCAAAGTATTTGTGTAGGTTGAAATATTACCTTGTGTGAAATGTTTTGCTTGAGGAGAAGCAAACGTCCAAGTGTGGGGAAGTGATTCGTTTGTGGAAAATTCACTCTTAAAAGGTTGGTTTTACGCTATGTTTCTCGTGTTTTAGTGTGTTTCATGATTTAACAGGTGAAACCAACCTCGGAGTCGAAAGTTGGACGAAAAGGATCGAAAATCGAGAGAAGTGGTGAAAAAGGACGAGATCACTATTTTCTTGGGTTGTTCACGGTCTTACATGACCGTGAAGAAGAGCCATTGGCCGTGAACCTTGAGGCGTTGAGAGCCAAAATGCAAGTTACTGACGCAAGACATGATCACGGTCACTAAGACCGTGAACAGGAGCTGTGGACTGTAAACACAAGGAAGCAAAGCGGTGCGCTTCGCCGCCCAATTGGAGTTCACAGATGCATTTCAGTGTTCATGGCCGTGAACTATAGCCGTGAACACAACCCGTTCCCTATTTTAAAGTTGAGGTGAAAGGAAGAGAGAGGAGAGCCCATTTGAGTGAGAAAGCCCACTTCTGATTTCTAGAGAGAGAAACACGAACCAAAGAAGAAGAAGGCCAGGGTGTTGCTCCAAGGTGAATTTTGGGAAGATTTCCTCCAAGGAAAGTTCAACACAAGGGCCAAGAATATTGGATGCCTCCTCCAAGATGGTTTCTACCCCTTCTCCTTATGTTTCTCCCATCTCTAGCATGGAGTAGAATTCTTTTCACTTGGGTGTTGTGAAACCCTAACTCTACCATGTAGTATTCTTTTATGTGAATTGAATGATTGTCATTGAGTATTGTATAATTCCAATGTTTGAAGTATTACTCATCTTGATTGTGCATGTTTGTGCTTAGAATCCTTAGGTTTGTGCATGTATATGCTACCTTAGGCGGGAAATTATTGTGGTATTCGGGACGAGTCAGCTGTTCACACAATGCTCTAAAGAGGTCAAAACGTGAGAGACCTTTTATTTATGATGATAAAAGCAAAAGTGATACATATTTTGCTTTGGAAAATTATCTCGATGTTTTATTTACTAGATAGGATCAACATCATCCTTAAACTGAGCTTTGCCATATAGTTTGCCTACTAATTCCCATGAGTTGGCAGTGGGTTATTGTTGGGCCCATAGTTGAGCAGTGTTGGCCTTAAAGCCCATAAGGGGTCGACCAGGCAGGGCCCGAAAGAGGGACTCGGGCGAGGCACAACGAGGGGTCCAGAGAAGGAGCGGACATAGGGAAAGGAGAGTGACAGGCTGCCACTCTATGATGGGACAGGGAGTAGGCCGCCCGACACAAAGTACCATTGGTGGCAGGAAGATAATATCTTCCTAGGATACTTACCTCGAATACTGCAGGAGTGAGCATTAAATGCCCGCCGCGGGCAGTCTAGATAAAGCAACGCGTACCTAGGGCGCCTGACATGGCATTTAATGCTTCATACTCAAGCTAGCCGACTATAAATATATTCATATCTGCATTGATGGTAAAAAAACTACTCTCACTCTCTCTAAACATAAGCAAAAACCTTTATCTTCTCCCTCTAACTTTAGCATCGGAGGGTATCTAGGCCGACCACCCATGGACCCTTGTTTGTAGGAGCTTGGAGTACACCCACCCTCTGGAACAGACGCTTTGCTCGTTCTTCATGAACCGCCTGGAATATTCCAGGCTCAAACAATTTGGCGCCCACCATGGGGCGAGCATAGCACTAAATAAAGGATGGATGGGAGCTCCAAGACCCCCGTCAAAGGTGTAGTAGAAAGGAGCGACCTCCGTGGTCAAGCGGCACAGAGGAGCGACCTCCGCGGTCAAGCGGCACAGAGGAGCGACATCCGCGAAATGGAAATGCCAACGGTGGAAGAAGAAATGGAAATGGAAGACCGCGTCAAAAGTCAAGGACATCAAATATCAAGCATGCAAGAAAGTTTGAGCTGAATCTTGGCCATGCTCAAAGAAAAGGGAAGCGAAGATCTCAGCTTAGGATTCTTGGAGGAGCATCTTAGGCCCTCGTATGGAAGAGTAAAAGGTCACAACATCCTCCAGAATCCACTAGCTAAGAGCTTATTTAAAACTCAGGTTCCCCCGAACTTCTCATCGCTCAGATTACCGACGTACAATGGAAGTTTGATCCCGCTGACCATCTGAGCGCCTTCATGCTGACCATGCATCTAATCAACGCCAACGACGCCGATCTGTGCACGGTGTTCCCGGTCACGTTCAGTGGCCATTGCCGAAGTTGGTACACTTCCCTACCTGAGGGGATAATTGGAAACTTCAAACAGTTTGCCACCCTCTTCTCCTCAATGTTCTCGTCCCAACGAAGAAGGAAACTGATCATGTCAGCACTCATTAACTGCAAACAGGGAGGAGAAGAGTCGCTGACGGACTTCTATTATCGGTGGAACACCATAGCATGCGAGGTACATGGAATCTCACCAAGCGTGGCAGCAGGGAACCTGCACATGTCGACACATAGTTGCGAGCTTCGAAGGGCACTCATCAAGAAAGAGCACGCCCTAAAAGAGTGGCCTGATCTATACCGCTAAGTGAGGAAAGTGATCTTGTTGGAGGAAGCCATGATCATGGAAGATGCTGCTAAGCGCGTCAACCCATGAGAGAAGCCAGATAAGAAAAAGGGAGGATCGCCCAAAAGAAGAGAGCGCTCTCCCGAAAGACGCAGCTATAACCCGCGGTTTACTCACCGAGACAGCTGGCGGGAAGTTTTCACCACCAACAAAGAAGAAGGCAGAGACAGAAGAACCAACAAAAGCAGTGCGCAACAAACGCATGGGAGGGAGGAGGATCGAAAGTGGTGCGACTAGCACCAGATGCCCACCCATGACACCACAGAGTGTCGGGAATTCAAGGCCAGTTTGAAGTACTTGGCGCCCGGAGACCTTAACAGCCGCCTAGATACGCGGCCGCATCGCCAAGAGGAGAGGCTCCACAAAGAAAGATCACCGAGCCCAAGAAGGAGGTCTCGTAAGCCTAAGCGCAGAAGATCAAGGTCGTAGAGAGGAGAGTGATCCCCCCGACGTGGCCACTTACCGCCACCGCCAAGGAGATCACCTCCCCAGCGACAACCTCGCCATAATGACGACGACATGGAGTTCATAACCATAGCAGGCGGTCACAAGAGGCCAAGAAGTGAGGGAGAGCGCTTAGTCCAATGCTTGAATGTTCATAAGAGCGAGCAGGTGGGCATCAGCTTTTCACCCTCCAAACTGGCCCCTGACGAGAGCGGAGAAGATCCGTTAGTCATCTCTTTAAGAACAAGGAAGTTCAAAATAACAAGGGCGCTAGTCGATAACAAAAGCTCAGTGGACATACTGTTCTATTCCACCCTCAAAAGTATGAAGATGAGCATGCAAGATCTCAAACCGTCGGCGACAAGCCTAATAGGGTTCTCGGGATCGAAGATTAGGGTGCGGGCTTGATCACCTTGCAGGTGACAATTGGAGAAGCAGACGTAACGAAAACCCAATCCATGGACTTCCACATGGCTGACTGCCCATCGGCGTGCAACGCAATCCTAGGACGCGGTTTTCTATTGTTGTTTTTCGCGGTCCCGTCCACTTGCCACTAGATGCTTA